GTTTTAATACCTGATTCATCAATCGCATGAAAGTACTAGGGGCATTAGAAAGACCAAAAGGCATGACTAACCACTTGTACAAGCCTTCTTTTGTCTTGAAAGCAGTCTTCCACTCATCTCCTTCCCTAATCCGAATCTGATGATAGCCGCTCTTGAGATCTATCTTGGAGAATACTTTTGAACCAGATAACATGTCTAGCATGTCTTCCAAGCGTGGAATAGGAAATCTATACTTCACTGTAATGTCTAGCATGTCTTCCAAGCGTGGAATAGGAAATCTATACTTCACTGTAATCTTGTTGATAGCCCTATTGTCCACACACATACGCCACTCTCCGTTCTTCTTTGGGACTAGTAGTGCTGGCACTGCACACGGACTCATGCTAGGTCGTATAAGGCCCTTCTGGATGAGATCATCCACTTGCTTCTGTAAAATCTCTCCTTCCTTCAGACTCATCCTATAGTGTGGCAGATTTGGTAGTCGAGATCCAGGGATAAGGTCAATCTGATGTTGAACGTCCCTAAGCATGGGTAATTCAGAAGGAAGATCATCAGGCATAACTACATCAAACTGCTGTAAGAGGGTCTGTACTTCAGGTGAAATTTCGGCAGTGGCAGACTCCTCTTTTCCCGAAACTACAAGGACATAAATCTCATCAGACTGCTTCACATCTTTCATAAAGTCTTCATTGTCAACGATCAAGAAATTCTTCTTTTCAGCCACATTGGTTTTGACAGGCCCCTTCTCGGTTAGAGGCTTGAGCACAATTCGGCGACCATCCTTCTTGAAGATGTAAACGTTATCTTTCCCCCTATGCGTGGCATCAACATCAAACTGCCAAGGTCTGCCTAACAACATATGACATGCATCCATCTCTACTACATCACACAATGCCTCATCCACATAAGTTCGGCCAATGGAAAAGGATACCCGACACACTTCATCAACCTGTACGTCATTACCCTTGCGAATCCAGCCGATCTTGTAAGGAGCGGGATGCTTCTCCGTCTTCAGTCCTAACTTCTCCACCATGCGCTGAGAGACAATATTCTCGCTACTCCCACTATCAATGATGACGTCGCAGATCTTCTGTTGCACCGTGCATCTTGTTCGAAAGATGTTATGCCTCTGTGGTGGTTCTTCTGCCTTTGGAGCCAACAATAGTTGCCGCACAACACATGAGAGTTGTTCCCCATCATCATCAGCATCCAACCCATCATCATAGTCTTCATCATTGTCTCGGTCTGTATCCTCATCTTCTTCATGATCCACCATGTTCACAGTACCTCTTTTAGGGCACTGATTGGATCGATGACCAGGCTGTCCATATTTGTAACACTTGATCGGGTCAGGTTTGGCATAAGGGTTCGCTGTGGTAGGCTTCTTTGCTGTTGTTGTCGCTGGACCCTTGCCCTTCTTTGTTGTTGCATCCTGCTCAGGAACAATTTGAGACTGTTTACTTCCACCACGTTTGAAACTCGTGTGCGACCCGTCGGAAGCTGCCCATGATCCTTTACTATTTTGTCCGAGTTGTCGCTCCACCTTCTCGGCTAGGCTAACTATATCTGATAAGGTATAGGTCTGTTGTAGAGATACACGATCCTGAATCGCCATCCTTAATCCCCCTGTATATCGAAACATCTGTTGGGCCTCGCTCTCGTTCAAGTTGTTGCGGGATGACAACCAATAAAATTCCTACGTGTACTCATCCACGGTTCTTCCACCCTGCTTACAATTCTGATATTGCCCGAATAAAACTTGTTCATAATCACTTGGCAGAAAACGGGCTCTCAATAGCTTCCTCATCTTCTCCCACCTTTCGACCTTCGGCTTCCCTTGACGAGATCGATTCAGACAAACAGATTCTCACCAAGCTGAAGCTCCACCTTTGAGTTGGTAGGCCACCAATTTTACCTTGCGTTCTTCTGGGATCTCCATATACTCGAAGAACCTCTCTACTACTGCAATCCAGTCGAGGAACTCTTCAATATGCAGTTGCCCGTTGAAAGATGGCAGATCCATCTTCATCTTGAAACCTCCAACGTCATAATTATCCCTTCGTCGTCGGTCTCTGCGATAACCACCGTGGCGTGGGGGTGCATAATGATCTTCCTCGCTGTCGGAATCTTCATACGGAGTCGTCTCACGTCGTTGGCGACCATCAACGCGATTTCGATCTCCTGTTATGTCCAGACGCTCTACTGCCGCAGCTAGTCGCTCTATGACAGTCTTCATCCGATTGACATCGGCCTTTAGCACGTCGAACTCAGTTCGAGAAATAAGGGCTTCATCACCTACCATCGGATTGGAGGAACAAGGCTCTGATACCAATTGACGCAGCGCAGAAGTTGTAACCTCGGAATCCACCAAGGGTGTTCTCTGAATCCACAAAGAACGATCTTCGAATCCATGAAGAGCTTCGAATCCACGAAGAAATATTGAGGAAAAACAAAATTTTATTAATCAAAAGTTATGCCTCTAGGGCTTACAAGACTCTTCTTAAATAGAAAAAGAAACAAGACTCCTACAAGGACTCTAATTCCTACAAGGACTCTCAACTTACCAAAAATGGAAAAAAAATTCCTAAAACATTAAAACTCCTAAAAATACTCCTTATGATTAGGAAAGTCCTCCGGTCAAATCTGAGATCAAATCTGAGATCAAATCTGATTTGTTTCCTAAACAAAACAGACTCCTAAAATATTACTAAAAATAGTAAAAAACGGACAAAACTGTAAATATCTCTCAAACCGTAAGGAATTTGACAAAACTGAGAATGCAAACCGAACCCATAAGGGTCGGTTTGGATGGCTCCGTCTCGTCGAGATAGTCGATTTTCATATATAATTCGTCCAATTCCGACGTACGGTTTGAAAGTTACGGCCGTTTCTTCGAAACAAATTATTTTCTTCGACCAGGCCCGCATTTAGGCTTGTGACTGTCCCACTTTGACATAAACGTGTCTGATAAGTGTTCTACATTAATTTGTGCAGTGTACATGTAACAAACTAGTGTTCTAGCATTCTTGTCGGGTATTATAAAGAGAGGAAGCAAGAACAAACACATCCTCGCTATAAATAAGATCATAAGCATCTTTCTTTCTCTAAATTACCGCATAATAAATATTGATTACAATTGAATAAATATTATCTCTAAAATTCCAAATAACATATGAGATTAGCATAATCAACAACTCATCCTATATAACTCAACAATGATAACAACATAAAATGACAAATGTATAAATATGAGATTACAACAAATACTTCTAGACTAAAACTCATTTTCCTATTATATACCCTTTCTACCCTTTCTTTTTTCAAGGTATACATTTAGATCCAGGAGGCATAGTTGGTATGTTTAATAAACCAAGTTTTGAATCCCCTCGCAATTGCCTTCCCGACCTTTTTTAATGCTTTTCCAATATTCGTGAATATAGACTTATTTTCTAACAATAGATTGGCATTATTGTTGTTACTGTTGTTGTTGGCATCAATTGTTGAAATTGCTCTGCTCTCGACAAACCCATAGAAAAATGGAGATATAAAAGTAAAAATGTGACGAGTAAAATGACCAATGACTCTGACATTTTTTTATTTTATTTCTAATCTCTAATGTTATGACTTATGAGATTATATTCGTTTTGAGGGCTTCTCCCTTTTTACCCTTTTATATCCAACATAATGCACTTGGGAAGTCAATACTCCCTATTGATTACATATTAACTTTCTCCATTAAGCTCGTTGTAATTACCATTAACATGTCTCAATAAATTACTAAACCTACTTAAACATGATAATTGCCTAACAATTTATTATGAAATAAAATAGTGTGGAATTGGATCCTCTTCCTATCATCAACAAGTAATAGAGGAACCACTAATCTTATTCTGTCTAATGATTTGTAAGTGGCTATTCATGACTAAGTCTAAATCTAGCGCTTACCATCCTAATAAATTGAATTCATTCATATTTTTCACTCCAAAATAAAATATAACTATCCATCAAGTAAGTCAATCATCGTGATAAAAAAAATACGGTGACAGCTTCACTATTGGATAGTGACAACGATCTAAATCCAAATAAGATTCTTCTTTTTATCATTTTATTTAGATTCTACTTTTGTCATTAGTTTTTTTTATTTTATTAAAACATTCACTTATTAGCTATATTTATAAATTATAATCCAATCATGTAAAAATACACTCCATAAGTATTCTAGTTTTATATTTTTGGAAACAGTAATCACTTCTATAATGTTAAAGGAGTCTTTTTTAGCTTTTGCTGTATCATTATCTCTATGTCAAGTCAATTAAATTTTGATAATCGTCCTATCAATGTCGTTTCACCTTCTCTCTTTCCCACAGCAAACAAATCATCTAAGGGTCCGTTTGGTTAGAAATTTTTTTCTTTGAAAGTCTGCCAAAGTGTCACTTCTTTGGCAGGCTTTCAGCAAAATCGCCTCTAAAAGAGACGACTTTGTTTGAAAGCCTGCCAAAAAGTAACAATTTTGACACTTTTGACAAGCTTTCAAGAGAACCTTTCCCTTAAAAACAGGGAACCAAACAGCCCCTAAATGTTTGCTAATTTACCCTCGTACCTCTCCTACTGATTTTTTTTCTACCACACATTTTCAAAAAATCTCTACCTTTAAGTTAATTAAATTTATCAATGTAGAATTAGCCACAGAGAGAGAGAGGTGTTTCCCTCTATATTTGACCAAATATAGATTAATAAAATTAAGAGAGAGAGAGAGAGAGAAGTGTTTCTCTCTATCTTTGATCAAATATACATTAATAAAACTTAACCAGAAATATATTAGGGATGTTTGAAAATTAAAGTCCAAACAGGTACAATTGTGAGAAGTTAGGGGGAATATTAGCAAATACCTATTTTTGTTAGGCATGCAAGCAAAAAACCTAATCAAACCGGACCCATTATATCTGTATAAATACCGAACAAGGCCGCGAATTCTTTCTCCTCCTTCCTTGCATCCCAAAACCCTAGAAGCTTTGGAGGTTTTGGCCATGGCGAAGAGAAAAGAGAAGAAAGTCAACGTCTACGGCAAGACGAAGCACTCCCTCGACGCCAACCGCAGCAATGGCGGGGGCGTGATAAGGGCAATCGTTCCGCCGCCACCGTTCGCCGTCTCAAGATGTATAAAGATCGACCGAAGAGAGATCGAAAGGGGAGGATATTGAAGCAAGACTTACAGTCGAAGGAGCTTCCTAATACTCGGATCGAGCCTGATCGCCGCTGGTTCGGTGAGAAAACTTTGATGATTTTCGTATTTTGTACTTTTTAGTGCTTAAATTTTAGGGTAAATGGTCCGATAATCCATAATTTATAAGGGAGTGGAGGTTATCTGCAATCTATTCTTCTCAAAATTTGAGTTCAGGTTAGTAAGTGCAGGATTGAAGGGACATTGTCTACAATTTACCCTGAAATTTAAGTGGAATTAGCGAAATTTTAATAGAACTCTTTATGAATCACTATATAACTCCGTGGCCTTTAAAGAGATTTAGGGCGGTTTTTAGTTGGGATAAATTGGGGTCAAGTAGGAAAATTATTCCAATGGAACAATTTTATCCTTTTGGGATATTTTGAGTGGGGTAAAGTGGGATAATAAGACAATTTAAGCTTTTGATTTGATAATTCATATGGGATAATTGATGATGCGATACCTTATTAAAATATAATTTTATCTATTAATTACTTCTAAATTAACTTATCCAATTGGTTTAGTATATTATTATAATATAAACATTATTTTACTTTAATATGTTGTATTATAATTACTAATTAATATTATTAATTATTATATTACATTATATTATATTATATTAGCATGTTATACAATATAATAATTAATATAATATAAGATCAATATATTTAATATAATATTTTAATAATATAATATTTAATAAAATACATTATTTTATTTATACAAAAATATAATATGTTGTACTATAATTACTAATTAATATTATTAATTATTATATTATATTACATGATATTAGTATGCTACGTTATATAATAATTGATATAATATATGAACAATATATTTAATATAATACTTTAATAATATATTATTTAATTTAATTTAATTCTTATTAACTAAAAGAGAACACTCAAAAAGCTCCTATGAACAGTAAATCTGATCTGGACCAATCCGATTATTCATAACAAAATTATTTTTAAAATCCATCTTTATAAAAAAAACTATAATTCATCACCGATTCTACCCATTATCCACCTAACCCCACCCACTTAGTATAATATATTATATTATTTCAAACTATAGTATTATATTATATTATATCATAATATATATATATATAATATTGTTATATTAGTTTAATATTATTATATTGGTTTAATATAATACACTATAATATAATTGCTACAATAAAATATCAACTACAATTAATATAATATATTTTATAATAATATATGCTATTCAAATATTATATAATATTATAATAAATATGGTGTACTATTATATAATATAGTATGTGATATTGCATAATAATATATAATAAATATCATAAAATAAATTATACATATAAATTAAACTATAATAATATTTTATTTTATTACATAATAATATAATATAATATTTTTTGAATATATTATTATTTTGTATTTTATATATCATGTCATATATTTATAATATAATTAGCATGTATTAGTTAAGTAATACAAAAAGGTTTAAAAATTATCACAATTGCCTTCAAAATGGAACAAAATTGTTCCAATATGGAGGATGGGGTAAATTTTTACTATTAGGACAAAATTTTTGTATATGAGTGGGGTAATTTTATTCCAAATGGTGAAATTATCTCACTAGTGTTTAAAAAATCAATAACACAAAAAGGTAATATACTTGTTCCATTGTCCTAATGAATAACACTATGAAATACAATATCCAAAATTATCCCCTTATCTCCCCAAATGTCCCAAGAATAACCCCCCTTAGGTAGGTTTAATTATGAACAAACCCCCTTTAGAATCACCCAATTGCAAATATTCACCTTGTAGTTCTAGATTTCTGAATTAACCCCCTATAGTTCTATTTGTTGTGAATAGACCCCCTGTAGTATTAGCCCAAATGCGAATACACTCCTTAGTGAACAAGTCTTTTAAAAGTATAAAAGAAAAAGCAATTGGGTATCCATACTCACCAATAGAACTATAAAGGGTCTACCCGTCTCCTCAAATATTGTCAACAATTTTAAGAGTAAAAAAAAATCACTCTGGGGTCTATTCGCAACAAATAGAACTATAGGGGGTCTATTCGCAACAAATAGAATTGTGAGGCTCTATTTCCAATTGTTTGGTACTACAGGGTATCTGTTCACAATTAAACCATTTAAGTAAACTAGTTATCGTCACATTTCCTTATCTGTTGTGAAATTATCAAGAATACAACTGTTTTTGATTTTTTAGAAAAGTTTGTTGGTTTACAGTGAAATCTTTCTTCTTGATTATGTTATTAGTTTGTTATCTGTGCAATGCGAGAATTAGAGAGAAATGGCTGGAGGATTGTTGGTTCGGGAAAAGAGAGAAAAGGGGAGGCAATATTAAGGAGACAGTTGTTGATTTTGATAGGATGAATGTAGAGATAATGATGCATGACACACGAAAGTAGAAAAGATAGATTTAATAGCGAAATGTATAGATACTATTTCTAGAAAAATAAAGGCAAACATCTGTCATTTGTCATGTTCCTGCGTCAAGTAGCGACTGCTTAGTATTAGTAAAACATTGCATAGTGGAGTTCTTGTATTCAAAGAAATGTCAATGGAATATTACAATCAGATATAGATTATCTATAGATAGAATATGATGATACAAGGTGCCAAAAAACCCTGCCATTTGCTTTTGCAACTAGCACCTCGTCAAGAACCACCCTCAAGAACAAAAGCCATTCCCAAGATCAAGAACCAGTTGGAAGCTGGATCCAAGAGATGGACGAAGACCAAATAAAGCGACTTCCACCTATCTCTTGACGGTCTGACTACTGTTATCATCTATCTTTGGAATGCTTCTCGCAATGCAACATAAATATGGCATAATCTTTGTCTAAAACTCTGCTTATTGAAGAGGATGACTATTTTGTGGAAGTTGAAGAGACATACAAAGAGGGGATGCAAGCTCTGCTTCAAGCTTAATTGCAGAGTGGAATTGAAATCCATCTTATACAAACTTCTTTAACCTGAGAGGAAATTAGAAGTACCGGGAGAAGTTTAATGTCAAGTAAATCAGCTTGTCTTGAATGTCTTCTTTCTAGAATGACCAGAATACTAAGTTTTGCATGTGTTCTTCTTTCTGTTATGATATGCATCATGAGTACTGGTAGTAAAAGATGCAAAATGATTGTCAGATTTACACACATAGCAACTTAGTTGGAATCTTCACCATTTAATTGACATTTATCTCATGATTTGCCAAAAAAACGAAAGATTATGGTGAAGAAAGCACCCAATAATGACTTGCATCATCTTCTTGTTCTCTTCTTTTGCTTTAGCTTGTCAAATGACTTGCAGATGTCTAGGTTGGGATAAGTTACTTTTTCAATGATCCACAATGTTAAAATTGATTTTTTTCAATGGTATTTTTGAGCTGTGACAACATTTTAGTTTAATATAGAATTCTGTTTATTTAAGTTTTGCATGTGTTTTGGTGAGAATTTTTTTGATGATTTTTGTATTTATACTTTTTGTTTGGTGCTTAAATTTTAGGATAATAACCCCTAATTTATAAGGGAGAGGGGGTTATCTGCAATTTATCCCCCTCCATTGCGTAGTCAGGGGAGGTAAGTGCTAGTAAAATAATAGAGCGGTGATAAACGCCATTGAATGTATAGATGAGAGATTTTTCTGCAATTTATCCTAAATTTTAACTAGAATTAGCTACAAATTATAGATAACTCCATCACTGTAAAGAGAATTAAGTAAGGGTTAATTTCACAAAACTCTCATAAACTTTGGAGGAATTTTTACATAACCTCCCTGAACTTCACAAAATCTTCCCAAACTTTGTGTGTCTCCCGAGCTTTGAACGTTTCTCGCCAGATTCCTACATATAATTTGCAAATAAATAAAATTTCCTTGAGAGAAAAAAACTCCAAAATTTAGAACAGGGTACCTTAATTTTGGGGGACCCCCCCCCCCCCCCCCC